ATTTATTTCTGGAATCATACTGAGGTTTGTACAACCTTGTCATATATCCCAACCATGGCTCTTATCACATCTAAAACACATTCACTTTTTCAAGTCATGTTTTTCACTTTACTTTACAATAAGAATGAAAAAATATCACCTTAAGAAAAGGGAGATAACATACAAGCAGTGTGACGTTAGAGGTGAAAGCAGAACTGAGACTTTCTGTGGCAGAAACCTTAGCTGTCCCTCAATATCAACTATCCTTCATAACTATATGACCACCAATTTTTAGACAACACATGGTCACTCTATATTTTACTTAAATGTGGGTAGGAATTCTACTGAATGACATGCCACATAGCTAGATTTTTCTTTCGCCCACGTCCTTTATTCTTATGTCTAGAACACAGACTCAATGAGGAATTACATATCAGATAATGAAGCTGAAGGTCAATTCCCATGGATGACAGAGACAGAAATCTGAAAGAATGTGACTCCCTGAGACTCTCAGGGGAGATACAGAATCTGCTCTAGACTGCTAACATCCAGACATACATAGAAAAGAAGTAGACTTCTAATGATATAAATAGATTGCCAAAAATATTGCATAAAATAAGAGAGAAAAAAGACATTGAATTCTCTCTTATTTAAGACGTTATTTTTTGCTATTATTTTTGATATCTATTATTAGAAACTTCTCTTATTGTCCTCCTTATCGATAGTTTGCCACTTGCAGCTCTTCATGATAATCTTAAACATGTGTCTTAACTCATTCTTTCATTAATATAATAATTCGCTCAATCGTCAGCAAGTGTCTACCTATCTTCTCTCTGACATAAATATATGAGGGGATTTTGTTGGACAAATGCAAGAAATCAAAGCATTCTCTTCTCAAATGTACATATATTAGGAAAGTTTATTTTTCTTAAATTATTTACCAATTCTTACATCTAATAAGCATTTGTCTTAGACTTCCTATAACAATCCCATTTCAAATAATCCCAGGCTCTAGTGATATATCATAGATAGCATAATACATGTCTAATATGTTCCTATTACTCTATATTCATTCTCTCCCCTTCTTTACCCTTATTCGGTTCCTGGGAAGATGATCAGTATGTGGTACATCAATGGACTCTCTTATGTCATGGTTGGGTTGTCCAATAGGAAGCCTTAGTATAATTCCAGACGGAGGTAAGAGAAAGAAGACTACATATAGTCATGATATGTACAACATTTTGATTCATGGTAGACACACAGTCACTGGTGGTCCCAAAAGATTTTATCACCTAGTTTTAGTGCATATGTGTATGAGCTCTCAAAAAAAATCACCTATGTTTAGTTCAGTACCCCATTTTTTAATTGGGTTATTTAGAATTTTAGTGTCTAATTTCTTGAGTTCTTTATATATTTTGGAAATCAGTCCTTTGTCTGATGTGGGGTTGGTGAAGATCTCCCATTCAGTAGACTGCCTTTTTGTCTTATTGACTGTGTCCTTTGCTATAAAGAAGCTTCTCAGTTTTAGGAGGTTCCATTTATTTATTGTTGCTCTCAGTGTCTGTGCTACTGGGCTTATATTTAGGAAGTGGTTCCTTGTGCCCATGTATTGAAGACTAATTCCCACTTTCTCTTCTATCAGGTTCAGTGTAGTCTGATTTTTATTGAAGTCTTTAACAGAAGAATCTCAAATGGCCAAAAGATACTTAAGGAAATGTTCAATATCCTTAGCTATCAGGGAAATGCAAATCAAAACAACTCTGAGATACCATCTTACACCTGTCAGAATGGCTAAGCTTAAAACTATTAATGATAGCTTATGCTGGGGAGGATGTGGAGTAAGGGGAACACTCATCCATGACTCGTGGAAATGCAAACTTGTACAACCACTTTGGAAATCAGTATGGCGGTTTCTCAGAAAATTGGGAATCAACCTAGCTCAGGATACAGCAATACCATTCTTGGGCATATTCCCAAAAGATGCTTAATCATACTACAAAAGGTTTTGTTCAACTATGTTCATAAAAGCATTATTCATAATAGCCAGAACCTGGAAAGAACCTTGATGCCCCTCAACCGAAGAATGGATAAAGAAAATGTGGCACATTTACACATTAGAGTACTACTCAGTGGCAAAAAAACAATGACATCTTGAATTCTGCATGCAAATTGATTGAATTAGAAAACACTATCCTGAATATGGTAACCCAGACCACCCAAAAAGAATATGGTATATACTCACTCATAAGTGGATACTAGCTATAAACAAAGGACATTAATCCTATAGTTCATGATCCTATAGAAGCTAAATAATAAGGTGAACTAAAAGAAAAACATATATAGAACCACATGGAAATTGATAACAGACAAGATTGCCTGACAAAATTGGGAGTATGGGGGTGGGGGAATGGGAGGGTAGAAGGGGAAGAGGCGGGGAGAAGGGGAGGGTTGAGAACTTGAGGGAATGGATAGTGGAGATGGAGGAAGGACAGAGTTGAGAGTAAAGAAAGAGATATCTTGATTGAGGAAGCCATCATAGGGTTAGTAGAAATCTGGATCTAGAGAAATTCCACAAGAATGACTCCTACTGAGACCCTAAGTAATAGAGGAGAGGGGTCCCAATATTGACTTGCTTTGTATTCAGGCTGATGATTATCTTAAATATTATTGCAGAATCTTTATCCAACAAAAGATGGAAACAGAGGCAATGATTCACAGTGGAGCACTGGATTGAGCTCCCAAGGTCCAGTTGAAGAATGGAAAGAATGAGAATATGAGCAAAGAGGTTCGTTCATCCACTGAAACAGTTTACCTGAGATAATGGGAGCTTACTAACTCCAGCTGGACCGGGAAGGAACAAGCATAGAACCAAACTAGTCCCTCTGAATGTGGTTGACAGTTACATGGCTGGGGCAGATTGAGGGGCCACTAGCAGTGGTACTGGGATTTATCTTTACTGCATGTGTTGGCTTTTTGGGATCCTATTCTCTTTGGATGTATACCTTGCTCAGGCTAGATATAGTAGGGAGAACCTTGGACCTTCCACAAAGCAATGTGCCTTACCCTATATTAGGATTAGATGGGGGTGGGGTGAGAGGGTGTGTGGAAGGAATAGGAGGAGGAGAGGGAGTGATTATTTGGATTGGTATTTTTTTTAAAAAAAAAATCTAATAAAAAATAAAATCACCTATGATGGAATTTCTCAAAACATATTCTTAAAACTAAGAAATCTATTACTGTATTTATTGTTTCAGCTTGTTTCCTGAGATGGCTTCTCAGGTTAACAGTATGTCTTATGTAACATCACTCTCCTTCTCCACGTGGTCCACTAAATGACCCTTTAGTTTGGTTCAGAAAAATCATTTCTTACTTTCCCACCCTTTGAACTGTTATTGGCCCTAGAAAATTTTACTGCATCTCATGATTTCCATATATTCTGAATTGAGCTTCTAAATAGTCCTCCTTGAAATATCCTAAGGTGAGCCTAACTTACCATTTGCTTCCTATTAGCATGCTTATTGATACAAAGTGTGCCCCAATTTTTAGTTCAAAACACAGGTCACAGATAAAAATGGAACCCACCAGATGGGAAGAATGTTAGGTAAAAGGAAGATATTTAGCAAAATATCTTAAAGGATAGAGAGCTCAGAGTATAAGAATATCATAATGATAAAATTTGGCTTTCAAGCATTTGTAACTCATGTACCTTCTATATTTCTCTCTCGTAAGAAATATACTAAGAAGTGGGACTTACAGGTAGAACCCAACGGCACTAAACAAAGTCCATTTCACTACCCTAGCATGCCAGGAGCCCCAGAATTATCTTCGAGACCATTAATACATTAGTGTATTTACTTGGAATCTTTGGTGACTTTCAGTACCTCTGCTTTAAGGCACAATACAAAATTACAGAATGAACCATAAAACCAAATTATTTGCTTGTTCCTGTTTTACAGATCAGCAAAATAAGGGAATCTAGTGTATTTAATGAACAGAAAAACTTCCAATTCTGTTTTTGTTGGACAAAAAAATGAAGGAGACAAAAAGAGAAAATAATGCGATCCCCTTATGAGATGCCCTCATCCTGACACACAGAAGTTGGGAATTTGTTGTTTTGCATTGCAATTGTAGTATACAGGTAAGATTACGTTAAGCATCTCAAGACAATGAGAAGGATTACTTTGATGAGCCCTCTTCAATCATTAATACCCTTACAAGTGAAAGAAGAGACAGGTGAATGAGAACCAGTGCGCCAACGGAAAGGAAGCACAAACCAAGGAGCTTCTTGTGATGAAAAGGCACACCAGTGTAGTCTCTGGAGCCTTGACTAGAACACAGATCTGCGGATATCACCACCTTAGCCCTGTGAAACCTACTTTGGACTTTTAGCCTCAAAATTATAAGCCAATAATTTTGGCTTAAATCACCTAGTTTGAATATGTTTTCATATCAATGGCTAAAGATCAATATGCAATGGAAGATTAAAATCTCTATACCAGGAAACTAAAGTCAAAAAATAAACATAAAACCAGGAAGTGAGTGAAGGCAAAAACAGCAAGCACATCCAGTCAGCACTCCAGTTGCTTGGTTTCACTAAGAAACAAATTCAGAAGGTTGTTATCATGAGATGCTTCCATGACCTTTGTAGCACCTAGCAGACACCTTCTTTTCTCTTCAGTGACAATGTGATTCTCCAGAACTCTTTAAAGAGAGTCGTTTTAGTTCTCTTTATAATAACAACCATCTGTCTCAAACCTTATTCTCTTACTGCCTGGAGCCGTAGAAGCAAAGAATCACAAGTTCAAAAACAACACCCAAAATAATTATTACATGATTATTGCTAAGCATAATAATTATTTAAAGCTTATTTCTATTCACAATTTTAAAATTTGTGAGAGCATATACTCTATATATAGTTCGATAGAACACAATTTTTCATAATTTGTATTCTACAAAACTTCATTGCAAGTTGCCATTTCAGTGTTTCAAAAGAGGGACCCCAAGCATGATGCTGGCCTTACCACACTCTGTCCAAGCTGCTCCCGGAAGAAATAATCCATGTTTCTTTTTTGGAGGCTGTCGAGGTAATGCTGGAAGCGAGTATATGTATATGGGTAGCAGTAAGCAAACTGGTAAATATCATCTTCTCGGTCAAAACAGAATGCAAAGGACATCACATAATTCTTCCTGTGGTCTGGGCAGCGGTAGTAGTAAACATTTTTAGGCGGCAGTCTTTGCCTATAAGACATAAACAAAGACAGTAGTTCAAGACTCAAAAGTAGCAAACAGGAATGAATGTCGAGTAAATGTCAAGAACAACAGTGTCAGGAACTAGCAGAATAGTAAAACTTCATGGGGTCAAAAACACGTGCTAAAAAAGCATCACTTTGTCATTTGGAAAATAAAAAAAAATAAGGAAGTATTTGTTACTTTCTATTTGGACCATTTACTATATGCCTAGGCATTGTGTGAGAATTTAGGAATACAACAGCAAATATTACAAACAAGGGCTTGGTCTTCATGGAGTATATATTCTACTAGGAAAACAGCCATTGAACTTAAAATAGACAGTATAGTTACAGGTGATGTGGTGTTTTGAATAATAATGCCCCCATAGACTCATAGTTAAATGCTAGATCTGTAGTTGGTGGAACTCTTTGGGAAACATTAGGAGGTATAAAGTTGTTGGAGAAGGCGTGTCGCTGGGGGTGGAATTTGAGGTTTCAAAAGCCCATGCCCTTCCTAGTTAGTTCTCTTTCTTCTTTGTACTTATAGATGGAGTTACAAGCTCCCAGCTCCTGTTTCAGCTCCATACCTGCTTACCTGTTGCCATGGTCCCTCCCATGATGGCCATGCACTCTAACCATCCAGAACTCTGAGTCCCATATCAAATACATATTTTTTAAAAAGTTACTTTGGTCATGGTGTTTTATTACAGCTATTTAAAAGTAACAAAGACAGGTGGTAAAAAAATTCTTTAAAGAGCTACGTTGGGAGATACTATATATATATATATATATATATATATATATACACACATACACACACACACTGTATGTGTGTATGGATGGATGTATATGGAAGTATTTATACATGCATATATTATATGTGTACATATCACACACACGCGCACATGCACACATGTCTTGTTAAGTACCCAAGCTGGCTTCAAACTCATTACCGTAGCCTAGGGAATTTGCAGTGCTCCTGCATCAGTGCCCTAGTATTGTGGGTGTGCGTCACCTGACTGATTTGTGTAAGAAGATAAACTAGGGCTGGAGGTTAAGAGCACTGGCTGCTCTTCCAGAGGTCCTGAGTTCAATTCCCAGCAGCCACATGGTGGCTCACAGCCATCTATAATGAGATCTGGTGCCCTCTTCTGGCCTGTAGGGGACACACAGGAAACATAAAAGATGTGTGAGAAATCAATGAGTAGACACATTTTTCAGGGAAGTCAGGATTTGTTTTCTATTATAAGACTAAGTCATAGTTTTAAAGTAAACTAATATACATTGTGAATATTGAAGAGAAGGGAGCAAAATATTCAACTTTACTCTAAATTATTACTGTTATTTTCTACAGAGCATTATGTAAGACTAACTTAATATTTTATTAAATATTAGAACTTTTCATATATGAATATGTATATTGTAATAATATTCTTCCTTTATGCCCCTCCAACTCCTCCTGAGTCTACCTCTACCTCCTAGCCCTTTCCAACTTTGTGTCTTTGTTTTTAATATTCCATTCAGTCCAATTTATATTGCTCATATAAAAAGAGGTATGAAGGCATACAGAGAAGCACAGTTAAACTATTAGAACTATACCTATTAAGAAAATTAATTCTTTCCTAGCAGCCATTACCACCAAGAGCTCCTCAGATAGGGGTGGGGCTAAAACCATCCTCTCTGTTCCATCCAGCATGTTCCATGTTGACTGGCTTGATCTGTACAGCTCTTGTGAAAGCAACACGAGCTGCTAGAGTTTTGCTAATTCAAGGGTCCTTTCATGTCCAGAAGACTGTTTTACCATGGTTAGTCCTCTCAAGCCTTGGCTCTTTCCATCTTTCGGCCTTCTGTTTCCCTATGTTCTCTGAGTCTCTGGGTGAGGGATGATACAGATATCACACTTATGGCTGAGAACACCATACACATTCTTTCTGCACTTTGAATCATTATAAGTTGCTGTATTCATTTTTGTTTCCCATCCAGAGAAGCTTCTTTGTTGAAGATTCGGGGTTATACTAATCATTAGTTTTATTTCCCACGAAAGTATTTTTGGTAAATATTGATTCAAAATGTGCTGTGTGAGTAGTGGTTCCCCTAATATGCAATGCTCATACTTTAGTAAGGAACACTAGGAAACACATAGAAAAAATATTCTAGTAATAATACTACATCATTGTGCCTGCCACTCTATAAAGCTACTGTATCATCATGTCTTATGGGAGCCAAAGTGTTTACATTGTTGCCCTACAGAGAATGCCCCTCATTTCTTTCCTTCCTACTCAAACAAAAGTCAGTTCAAACTGTACCTTTTCCATTATTTTACACTGTGAATTCTGGGCCAGCTCAATTCACACATTGTATAATAAATAGATCTTGCTCTTTTATTGGTTGGCCTGGGAGTCTTATGTTTTTAGATGGGTCTAGAAGAGTTTTAAGAACAAAGGACAACTTCTAGAAAACGATGACAGATGGTGAACAATATAAGACTCGCCTCCCATGGGTTGGCATTTAGTAGAAAAGCCAAGTGGCAAAGACTGCGGACAGGAGGAGGAAAGTGTAGGAGGTGAGGTCAAGAACATCAAGAATGGTGCTGACTTTATGCAGAGCAGCCTGTAAAAACTGCTGAATCACAGATCCACGAACATTGTGAAGATTAGTGTTAAAATGTTAACTTGACAAACTACCTTGAGTGCTTACCATCTGGGCAACTATAGAAAGATTATCTTAAGTACATTATTCAAAGTGGAAAATTCCCACTTGCTGTGGGTGGCATCATCCTCTAGGCCAGGGATCCTGGACTGTTGAAGAGTGCAGAAAGCATGTATGCATGTGTTGCTTTCTTCTTTTGACTGTAGATGTATTGTGAAAAGCTATTTTAAGTTATTTTTATTGTTTTTGTTGAGCTCTATATTTTCTCCCCTCCCTACCTCTCCCTCCCCTTCTACCCTCTCTCATGAATACCATGCTCCCAATTTACTCAGGAGATCGTATCTTTTTATACTTCCCATGTATATTAGATCCATGTACATCTCTCTTAGGGTCCTCTTTGTTGTCTAGGTTCTTTGGGGTTGTGGATTGAAGGCTGGTTTATCTTTACTTTATGTCTAAACGCCACTTATGAGTTAGTACATGTGATAATTGTCTTTCTGGATCTGGGTTACCTCACTCAATATGATGTTTTCTAGATCCATCCATTTGTCTGCAAATTTCAAGGTGCCATTACTTTTCCAACAGTGCAATACTCCAACAGTGTATTTTTCCTTATCCATTCTTTGGTTGAGGGGCATTTAGGTTGTTTCCAGGTTCTGGCTATGACAAACAAAGCTGCTATGAACATAGTTGAGCAAATGTACTTGAGTATTATTGAGCACCCTTTGGGTATATACCCAAAAGTGGTATTACTGGGTCTTGAGGTAGGTTGTCTCCTAATTTTCTGAGAAATCTCCATACTGATTTCCAAACAGGCTGTATCAGTTTTCATTTGCACCAGCAATGGAGGAGTGTTCCCTTTACCCCACAACCTCTCCAGTATAAGTTGTCATCAGTGTTTTTGATCTTAGCCATTCTGACAGATGGAAGGAAGATGAATCTCAGAGTTGTTTTGATTTGCATTTCTCTGATAGCTAAGGGTGTTAAGCATTTTCTTAAGTATATTTCAGCCATTTTAGATTCTCCTGTTGAGAGTCCTCTGTTGAGGTCTGTACTGCATTATTTTTATTGAGCTCTACATTTTTCTCTGCCCTCTCTGCCTTTCCCCTCCCCTTCAACCCTCTCCCAAGGTCCCCATGCTCCCAATTTACTCAGGAGATCTTGGCTTTTTCTACTTTCCATGTAGATTAGATCTATGTATGTCTTTCTTAGGGTCCTCATTGTTGTCTAGGTTCTCTGGGATTGAGATTGTTGGCTGGTTTTATTTTGTTTATGTTTAAAAACCACTTATAAGTGAGTACATGTGATAATCGTCTTTCTGGGTATGGGTTACCTCACTCAATATGATGTTTTCTAGTTCTATCTATTTGCCTGCAAAATTCAAGATGTCATTATTTTTTCTGCTGTGTAGTACTCCATTGTGTAAATGTACCACTTTTTTTTTTATCCATTCTTCAGTCAAGGGGCATTTAGGTTATTTCCAGGTTCTGGCTATGACAAACAATGCTGCTATGAACATAGTTGAGCAAATGTCCTTGTGGCACAACTGAGCATCCTTTGGATATATACCCAAAAGTAGTATTACTGTGTCTTGAGGTAGGTTGTTTCCCAATTTTCTGAGAAATAATCCCACTGACATCCAAAGGGGTTATACTGGCTTGCATTCCCACCAGCAATGCAGGAGTGTTATTTTTACTCAACATCCTCTCCAGCATAAGTTGTCATTAGTGTTTTTGATTTTGGCCATTCTTACAGGTATAAGATGGAATCTCAGAGTTGTTTTGATTTGCAGTTCTCTGATGAATAGGGATTTTGAGCATTTACTTAAGTGTCTTTCACCCATTTTAGATTCCTCTGTTGAGAGTTCTCTGTTTTGGTCTGTACCCATTTTTTTCTTGGATTATTTGTTCTTTTGATGGGCAGTCTTGAGTTCTTTGTATATTTTGGAGGTCAACCCTCTGTCTGATGTGGGGTTGGTGAAGATCTTTTCCCATTCTGTTGCCTTATTTTTGTCTTATTGTCCCAGTCCTTTGCTTTACAGAAGCTTCTCAGATTCAGCTGGTTCCATTTATTAACTGTATTAAAGGTTTATAGAGAAGGCACAGGTGAAAAGGCAAAAGCAGCGAGGAATTGTTTCTCTCAGTATCTCTGCTACTGGGGTTATATTTAGGAATTGGTCTCCTGTGCCAACACATTCAAGGCTACTCTCTCTTCAATGAGGCTCAGTGTGATTGGTTTTATGTTGAGTTCTTTGATTCATTTGGACTTCAGTTGTGTGCATAGCAATAGATACATATCTATTTGCATCCTTCTACATGTTGACATCCTGTTATGCCAGCAACATTTGTTGAATATGCATTC